AATTATAGCTTAAACATAAATATAATAATTAATGTTCACAAATATACCTCTAAAGCCAAGGTTGAGTGATGCTGAGAAGAGAAATACATCAAAAATGCTTTTTAAAATTTCACACCACCTGGCTACCTCATTTCTTATTAGTTTTTCTAAACTTGAATCGATCCCACATTGATTTCCCAAGCTTTCCAGCGCTGTTTTCCACTTAATGTAATAGCCTCAATGGTGAGGACTGCTTTGGTGGCTTTTTACTTTTTCAGCTAGCTTTCTCCAGTTTCCATTGATGCCATTACCATTCCAACGTAGAAGATGTAAATTATTACCAGCCCCGCAGGCTTGTTTGCTTCCGAAAAGTGAGCACGGAAAGCAAAGAAATAATTTTAAAGTTGTACTCCAAACAAGCCAATCTCTGTTTTTTTTTCTCTCCATTACGAGTTATTTCGTGGAAAAATGATTCAGGAACCTTAATCTTGTTCGGGTCTCTCGTAAAAGATAAGGGTTTTTAGGAGGCTCCTGAAGAACAACTGCATCGCATTCTACTTTGGACATTTTTTCAGCCCACAAAGGAGAATCGTTTGTAGTAATTGCCTCACCCACCTTATCTTTACTCTAATATTCTAAATAAAGATTTTAGTAAGTATATAATTTTCACAAATTCACAATAATAATTAAAAGAATTTTTGCGAAGCAAATTTTATCAAAATATTGTTTTCATTTTCAACTTTTGTTGCCATCATATATATATATATATATATATATATATATATATATATATATATATATATATATATATATATATATATATATATATATATATATATATATATATATATATATATATATATATATATATATATAAATGTATACATGAAAAGAAACCAAACTACATAATTGGTTATTTTAATTTAAATTGCTACAATTACCACACTAACAGCAACATTAAAAAATTTTATAATTATATTTTCGAAACTGGAGCGATACCTTTAATAAAAAAGCCTACTAAAATATCATCTTCATCAGCTTCTTTATTAGACAATATATTTACTACAGATACTTTTAACTTATCAATAAAAAAAGGTATTGTTAAAAGTAATTTATCAGATCACTTTCCAATTTTTTTTTCTATAAACTTAAACATTGTAAAAGCAGTCCATCAAAATAAACTACTTATTAAACGGTTTTTTACTGAAACAACTTGTACAGCATTCAATGAACATCTATCTTTACTTCATTGGAATCACGTTAACGACTCTAACACACACGCACACATATATATATATATATATATATATATATATATATATATATATATATATATATATATATATATATATATATATATATATATATATAATATATATATATATATATATATATATATATATATATATATATATATATATATATATATATATATATATATATATATATATATATATATATATATATATATATATATATATATATATATAGTGATTTTGAATTTCATAGACAAATCCGATATTGATTTTGTTGAGAAGCTCATTTGCAAGGCTTGCCAAGAACTGATAATTTAATTTTGATAAATGTAAAACTAAACTACTAATAGTATGATCAGTTATCGGTATGATGAGGTTTTATTTTTATATCAGTTATCGGTATTTTACTTGCCAATATTAGAATATAAAAGTTTCATTTATTCTAACATTTAAATAGATAATAAGTATATAGAATGTGTGAATAACCTAATAATTTCCTTAAACATGATATTTTAATGATAAGATGAGGTTTGATTTTTTTAATTTTAAAAATCTGAAATGAAAACAAATTGATTAATTTGTTTTACAGTTAAGTTGTCTTTTTTTATTTATATATAAATTTTCATTACATAATAATTATAGTTCAGTTAGCCTTCACATTTATATAAGCTAAATTGATGGAATCTTTATTATATTTACTATTTTACATTCTATAGTTCTTATTTATAAATATTTTTTGTATTTAGTAGAGACCATACCCAAGAATGCCTAGAATGAATTAGAAAATTGCTTTAGAAATATTTTGAAAAGTGCGCCTAATTTTAAAAACTGTAAAAAATTAAAACCCTACAAATTATATGATTGATAAAACACGCTGATTGCATAAAAAATGTCTTTTAAACGTTGAAAAAACGTTTCGAACGTGCTTTGCACGTTTAAAAGACATATTTTTTAGTCTAATTTTGTAAAACTGCACTTAGGCGGAAAGTCTTATATAAGTATTTTTAAGACGTCTATAGAGCGTCCTGAAAGATCTTCCTTGGTCGCCTAATTTAGATTAGATTTCGATTAGTTTAGATTTCGCCCGAGACGTTCTGTTTGAACGTTTAATATTCGTTTATTGTACGTCCCCATGCTTGCTGGTTTTAGTATATACTTGATAAAAAAAAAGTTTTTTTTAGGAACTTTGATTGCATTTTAACCTATCGGTACATCATTATCATGAAATATCTTTTTACAAAACGTTTACTTTTAGTTCTTAAAGTACTTTTTAGTAACCGTGGTATATGCGTCAATATGCATTTATCATGGTTTACTTTTTATGATTACAAAATACCTCATGACGAACTAATTCTTATTAAGTCATGTCATAATAAGAATAAATATTCACAATCTCAAAGCTTCTTCTTTTTTCAGCAATATTTGTATTTTTAATATTTGTACTTTGAAATGCTCTTCAAAATTAGCTATTTATCAATTTCTATTCTTAACATTTCTTCAAATCTTACTTGCTTTTTTGCTCAGCTGACATTGGTTTTCTCATAATTTCTGTAAATCATTTCGATGACCTCTGTTTAATCCTTTAAACCTATTGCAACTTTCTTCATCTTTTTAAACCTATTGTAAGTTTCTTTATCTTTTTGAATTTATTACGACTTTCCAGATTTTTTTCCCTTTGATGCAATAAACTTTTGTTTGATTGACTTAATAGGTATAAGGTTTTTTTATGTTATAGATAGGTATAAGACTTTATAAATTAATTAGTATAATAAAAGTATAATAAATTTCCTTTTTTAAATTAGTATAATAAATTTCCTTTTTTATTGTTTTGGTTATACAACTAACAATACTTTCAATATTTGTAGATGCTGTTTTTGGATATTAGCATTTTTTAAATTTAATTAATGGATCCTCGATCTTTAATTAAAGAAAACATTCCATCTTGTAAAGCATTTAGGGTCTTTTGTTTTGCTTTTTGCACCAAGATGCTGTCTGTTAAATCTAAAAATATATTTCTCAGCACTTTTTTTTCTCTGCCAGTGAATTTAGTTTTCCAGCAATAAAAAGTTTTTTTGTTTATAAAATTTACATTTTAGTGACACAAAAACTTTTTAGATATAAAACACTTTTGTGAAAAAAAATACCAAAACAATGCACCTGCTAAATAAAAATATAACGTTAAGGCCTATATATTAAGTTAACAAGAATATATTATCAAACAGAGCTATGCATATTTATATCATATCATAACACATCATAGTAAAGCGTTGGTTATATTGTTTTTAAGAGTTTTTTTGAATAGTGAAGTCAACTTGATTTAGCTGATGTAGCAACAGACTCTGGTCATAAAATAAAATATCGCTATAATACATACCCGTCTTACAAAGATTACATACCTTTCTTAAAATATACGTTTCTTTTGTAATCTAATTGTTTTGTGGTTCCTTTTTTTTAACTCAAAACATGAGTGATCATTTACCAGTTTTAAATGAATATGGAATTAATAAACAATCTCCTCAAGAAAACATTCATTATATAACAAAAAATGGTAGCATTCTGAATAATGCATAAAAAACACTGATTTTTCAGATTTATGCAATGATCGCCTAAACACTAGTTTTTATTGTCACAACATAACGTTAAACAATTATGATAAAGAACATATCAAATCCTGTAAGATTGTTACAAAATCTGCATTACATACCTTAAATCCTGTCCAAAATAAACCGTTTTTGCATTTAAAATTTTGGTAAACTCCTGAGTTGTGCCGTAGAAATAATATTCTTGCATTTTATTTTAAAAAATAGCAGGAAACTGGTATCGTTAAGATTTAAACTTGCTTATTTTTAATGTAGAAATGTGTATAAATCTATATTAACATAATTTTTTCCTAAATCTGTGAATCATTTTCATTTCATTAAATTTTTTATTTAGATTTTGATGTTCAATGGAATATGTTGCTCACCTTATTTTAACAATTAAACTATTTCTACGTTTACGATAAGCTACTTCGTATAATTCAATTTTACGTAATTTATTTATGCTATTATGTTTCATTCTACAAAATTTTTTAATGTCGTTAAGGTTATATACACTCTAAGAAAAAATCCGTTATATACATCGAGTTGTATCTGTCACTATTGCACTAACGGGAAATCCGTTAAGTTAACGAATTAAAATTTTAACGAATTGAACTCCGTTAGGAATAGTCCGTTGAGTTTACGGATTTATTTCGTTAGTGCAACGAATAATCCGTTAAAATTAAAGAGTTATTACACTAGGCAGCAAATTTTTCACGGTTGTTATTCCTATGAAATAAATGTGTTAATAAGTTATTTTAGTGATTATTTCGTTAAAATCACTAAAATCTAAAATTAGAGAGGCCAGAATTGGGACTTCATAACCAAATAATCCTTGTATTTGTTAATGTTTGCATTTTTATTTAATTGCATTATTTTATTTCCATATTCTACATTAAAACGTTTTAACCAAATGTTGAAAACTAATCAAATATTTATATTATTTAATCCAATATACTTTAAATTACAATAAAAATAGTTAAAAAAAATATTTTTAATACACTATACTCAAGCAAGTACATTTATATAAAACACACACATATATATAATAGATGTTTAAAATATTTCTATTCTAAATTTTGTTATTTTAATTATCATTGATATCTTTTTCTAAAGATAAAGTTAAATGGAACAAGTAAATTATATCTTTATTAAAATGTAAATTAAAAAAAAAGTATAAGATTACCTTGACATTATCTGATAACTGAAAGACTCTATACATTTCACATACATCAATACCTATCAGGAGCAAAAAATAAGGTCTCTAACCTTTTAAAAACTATGATAAATCAAAACAAGATTAAATATGCAGACCAAAAAAAACCCAAGCAACTATATAAAAAAATTAATTTTACAACTTATTTAAACTTACAGTGTCATACCACTTGTCACATGTTTAAAAAAGCTAATTCTAAAATAATAGTGAATATAGAATATAGTAGAATAATAGTTAAAAAAGTGTGATATAAACTAAGTCTTAACTAAACTAAATAAATATGCATGCCAAAAGAAATGCAAGTTAAAATACAATTTTTTTAAATTTACTAATTCAAACTTACGTGGGGTATCACAAGCCACGTGTCTAAAACAGCAAATTCTAAAATAATATAAACACGCCAGATATAAACTTATTATTATTATCAATAGTTGAAACTCAACTAAATAAATATGCGCGCCAATAGAAATGCAAGTTACAATATAAATTTTACGACCAATTTAAACTTACAGTATGACAGCTTATACCAAGTGTCTAAAATAGCAAATTCTGAAATAATATAAACAAGCCATACACAAACTTAGTTGTAATCTAATTATATAAACATGAACGTCAAAAGAAATACAAGTTAAAATACAATTTTTTTTAAATTTACTGTTTCAAACTTAAAGTGAGATACCACATGCCACGTGTCTAAAACAGTAAATTCTAAAATAATACAAACACATCAAATATAAACTTAGATTAAGCTCAACTAAATAAATATGCAAGTTACAATATAAATTCTACAACCAATTTAAACTACAACGTGACACTAAATGCCGTGCCTCTAAAGCAGCATATTCTAAGATAGTATAAATAACTCATATGTAACCTTAGTTGTAACTCAATTAAATAAACATGAATGTTAAAAGAAAAAGAAGTTCCAATATAATTTTTTTAATTTTACAACTAGTTTTAACTTACAGTGGGATAGCAAATGCCATGTGTCTAAAACAAAAAGTTCTAAAATAATATAAACACACCAGTATAAACTTAGTTTATGATATTGGATGCCACATGTTTAATTTGGAAATTAATAAAAATTGCAATTTATAAAAGCATATTAATTAGTCATGTAAACTTAGCTGTAACTAACCTAAATAAATATACCTATCAAAGATATTAACATTTTTAATTTTACAACTGATTTAAACAAATATGGTATGTTACTACATGTCATATGTCTAAAATATAAAGTTAAAAATACTATAAATAATCCATTTAGTCTATTTTATAAAAATAATTGTTCAACTAACCTTTTACTACTAGTAAAGGATTAGTTGAACTTTATTTCTATAATATAGACTATATGGATTGCATATATTCTTGCATAATTTTCTAGATTTAGACATGTAGTAACTTACCATATATGATATCTGTTAACTTACCATATATGTTATTATATATTATTTAGTAATACTAATGGCTTTTAATTTAATACAAAATAAACCTTATTGTTAAATTTTCTATATAAAGCTTTATATAGAAAATTTAAAATAATCTAAATAATCTTCGGAATCACAAATAACAGAGCGTAATTTAAATTACATTTATCCGTTTGCTTTGTCTACTAAATGTAAAGCTTTTTAAAAAATGTCATATTACACTTACTGCAACCAACTTTTATCTACGATGTAAATGTAAATGTGAGAAAAACGCATTCAAAACTTTATCACTTTCAAAATAAAAAGCTATAATATACTGAAATTTTTTTTTGATCGATTAGAATATTTAATCCGTTGAATTAACGAAATTTCAAAGAATCCGTAAATAGTTAATTTTACTCCGTTAGTTTTCTGGTTTTTGGTAACGAGTTAATCCGTTAATTTAACGAAAAAGCGCAATCCGTTACTTTTTTTAACGGACTCTTTTTAGAGTGTATTTGTTTTTTAAAACTTTGAAAAGCCTAATAAACAGTAAACTACAATCTAAATTTATTAAAAGTTTTTTGATACCTTTAACAACATTTCTATACATTTGATAACAAGTTACCTTTCAGATTTTATCTGTGTCAAAAAAAAAAAAGAAAAAGATAATTCAATAATTAATATTTGAATTAAAAAAAGCATATGTTCAATCTCGTAAAACAAGACACGGTAATTCTATTTTTATTAGTATTTTAAATCCAAAATAAACTAACTGCTTCGAAATATCAACTACGTATAAGTACGAAATGAGTATTCTAGTTACAGTAATAGTTCAGTACAAAAGCAGATAAAAAGGTAAAAATGTATTGTTTAAACAAAACATATACGAAAAAAAGCAAGATTTCAAACAAAAGCCAACTCGCATGACTATGCAAAATAAATAGAGATTTAGGTTTGGGATGCTAGCTTTTAAAACAAAATTAAAACTGTGTTAAAAAATATTTTAGGTATTTTAATATGTTAACTATTAAATCTACTCAACTTAAATACACACATTTTTGACATATATGAAATTCAAGTTAAATATAAATGACAAATATATCAAATGTATTTGTTCTCACGCAGATTTTAAAACCTTGATGTTACTTTTGTTATGTCGTTTATTATTATCACATTTTATGATTTTGAAAAAATTGAAACTTTGAATGAAAAAGGCTGTATATGTTAAGCATAAATATGACGCCATTGAATAATATTATTTCGTTGTAACTGTCTCTGCAAAATAAATAAATCTCTTCTGAGAATTATCATTTAAATATCTGAGTTTTTTTTTTTTTTTTTTTTTAAGGTTTTGTATGACACCTTTCGCTCTATCATACTGAATAAAACAAAGTTTTTCATTAAAACGTTTCAAAATGAGTTACTGTGATTAAATTATTTAAATTTTATTCACTCTTACCTCTGAGGTAGGGTAATAAAAGCCTCAAGCGCAAAGTCTAATATAGTTTTGTAATGAAATTTCAGTGAAGATCATCCTTAAATTATCAATTACGACAATCTTTAATTATTCACCCTTATTCTTTACCTCAAACTTAATTACGGGTTTAAAAATTATATGAACATGAGTAACGACATAATCAAATAAGTTAAAAAACAATTAATCACTTATTTTTTTTTTATTTTTTTTTTTTCTTATTACAATTTTATTTAGTATAATATCGTTTTACATAAAATAAAAAGAACCGTTTAACAATGCGATACAAAATAAATAAAAACAAAATACCGATATTTACAATACAAGATTTTTAATAAGCCAAAACCAAACATAAAATACCGTTAAAAAATGTCAAAATATGTAATAAAACTAAATATTTAAATAAAATAAACAAAAAAACTCGAAGATGTTATCAATTGTTAAGATAACTTTTTTCAGTTTATTTTTGAAAGTAAAAAAACTATAATTTTTAGAAAAATCAAAGTTTTTTAACACTATTTGGTTCCACAGAAAAGCTCCGCGATATGATATAAGAGATCTTCCAAAATTTGTGTGCGAATAATGTTGATGAATAAGATTGTTATTTTTTAATTCATATTTGTTTCTTGGCTTTATTGCATATAAATTTTGAAAAAATATTGGGGTTAAGTTTATCTTACATTTGTACATAAAGCAAAGAACATTAAAAACATTTAGTTGATATATATTAAGAATACATAATAAGTTGATATATATTATTTCATGTCTACTAAAAGAGGTTTTGCATGAGTATAACAAACTTTAAAATTTATTAGACGTGCTAGATGCTTCTGTTGCCGATAAAGAGGTTTTAATTGACTATTATTAGGACTACCCCACGCAATGTTAGCATAGTTTACATGACATTGGATTAGCGAGTAATAAAGTTGAGTTAATGCATGTCTATTTACAAAATTTCTCGCTTTATACAACACTCCAATATTTTTTGAGACTTTATTGCATAATGATTCGATATGATTTTTCCATGTTAAGTTTTCATCAATAAAAACACCAAGGAAATGTATAACTATCTCAAATTATCTCATTATCTCAAATATGAAAGACTCGCACAATGGCTAGCAATAAAGCAAGGAGTTACACTAACAAATAACTTAAAAATGCAGTTTCGAAAATAAAGTTTAGCAAATTATCATTAAAAGGAGCATCGTTTATGTTAGCCATTACAAATTCAAGTTTTTTGTTCAGGATAAAAACCATGAATGCTATATTGGTACTTGCACAGCCACCACTTTTACTAAATAATAATTCATTACTCAATTATATAAATTTAGTTAAAATGCTAATTATACATGCAAATTACAGTTTAGAAAGAACAAACAAATAAGTACTCAAGCTTGTTGCAAGCAATTTATAACATACGAAGCAAATTAGTTTATTTACGAACAATAAACAAAGCAGAGTCTGGTACCATGCTCATATCAAACCTTTGGAAACATTGACTAAACGAGAGAACTGCTGCTAATTGCTACACTAAAGTATTCTTTATTAATTAAAATATTAACTGCTACATATACTTCATTAACTAAAATTTTATAAACAACTCATTAAGTACATAAATAGAAAACTCTGTATCAAATACTTGTAATACTGAAAAAGTTACTTTCAATGGTAACAAGGGTAAGCAAACACTTCCGAGCGTCCCTAAAGTAACTTTAAATAAAGAAAAAATAAATCATACAGTAGACAACTGCTTAATAGCTGCTAGTTTTGTATTTCAGTAATCTATAAAATTTAAATAAAATACCTTGTAGTAAACTAAAAGCCTAAAACCGCAACAAATCTTCACCATCAGGTTGTTTTGATAATAAATATTTTATGGAAAGCTGATCAAAATAATTAATCCAGTTTTAGTAATTGATGATTAGAACACATTAGTTACAAAGTTGCTAACAAAAACACAACATTAAGTTATATTTCTAACGGCTCATTTGTCGCTCATTCTTCAGGCCTTAGGTGTTGGTGTGAATTATCATGTTAAAAAGGTTTGAATCTAAATTTTCATATCTACAAACATCAGTCATATTCAGTTAGCCTCAATCAGTATTTGTGATAAACTCACAGGCAAATGATGATTTAATACAAACTGTTGTTTAAAAAGTCAGATTAGCCCTAGAACTAAAAAAAGTGAACTAAAACAAAAATTACAATTCGATGGTGTCAATACTTAGAATTTAGAAAATGTCAGCAGATCTTGGAA